GAACGCCCGCATTCTGACCATAAGACGCGGGTTTGAATCTCACTATGGTCGATTTGTCAGGAAGGAGACTTCCTGATGTCATCGGACTGGAGGTGTCGATCCCAGCGTGCGTCATCTTTGGAAAGTGACTGAAAACCATACCACGGGTTGGTCCAAGCCTTATGAGTGAAATTGGGTAGAAGGAACTCTTAGGTCACAAGTCATCGTGGCTGAGGTCTTGAGCGTGCTGGCTTTGTTCAAATTGTTGATTACGCTAGATACCACGCTCTTTCCCAGTAACTGTAACTAAGGTCTGCTCAGCATAGTTGCAGTATAAACTGTGGGTGTTGAATAAACACAAATCCGCCTGAGCAAGCGTCTGCAATAGGGACTGGCTAGCCACCCTAGTAGATCGGTATCCTCGAATACGAGTGGCCAGCTATAAATATAAAATAGAGTGAAGTAGACTTTAGAAGGAGCCGGAAACCCAATCCTAAACAGGAAACAAGAGATAAACCTCTACTCCAATTCAAAAAGACTCGGAGTTTCCTTCCTAACCTTTTGTTTAAGTTGGTAGGGAAAGTCGACATCTTGATTATATCATTATTTTCCCTTCTCGTTACATACACTACCCATTTTTGTTGTTGTTGTTGGAGGAAGTTTTCAAGAAATGTGGCTTTTTTTATTTGTGATTCTGTAGTGCCAGTCTATAAAATTTGATAAAGGATTGTCTTCTTTAAGACCTGGAGGATTCATTTGCTTGAAGCCACTTTTAATCGTTGATCTAAGAAAATGGTTGCATATATCTGATAGTTTCTGAATGAGCTGAATGTCATACATGACATCCACATGAGAGTCTAGGTCTGACGAAGCTATGTGGTTTTAGTGGTGTAGATATTCTTGGAGATGTATCGGAAACATAGGACATAAAACGAACTGACTTAAGGGTATAAAATAAATAATATATTTTATTTATTTGCTTTAGAGTGAGTCCTTTGATATTCGGTGTAGCAAAATGTTCGTTAATAAAGCGAATATTCGTAGCAGTCTGGAGAAATGTTTCGGATTGGTATTCAGCAAATCTCCGTTTGAAATTGGTATTCATTTGGAAGTCAGCACTTGATAGTAACCGTAGTCATATTAGAGATTAGGTCAATGTTTTTTTTTCACCTTAAGCAGAACAGAAATATCACTAGCAGATGATTTCTACTACTTCTTCACGCGTCATGCATGGCTGGTTTCTCTGGGGTAGCGTCTTTTGTTCCGTCATGCCGCCCTCATTTTTGTAGTTCAGTGGTGTCAGCTTATATCGTTTTTACCAGGCACCGAGATTCTCGCGGGAACTTTGGCTTTAACTAACATCCAAAATCTCTTTGTGTTGATTTTTTTGATTGGCCAACATTATTTTATTTTTCGGCGTTCCTTTCTTTTTCTTTTTTTTTTTTTTTGTAACGGAAGTTATGCGTAAAGCCTGCCTGATTTTTGTTAGTTTTCTGTCATAAATTAGTGGGCTCTGTTCTTGTAAACTTTCGGCGTTTTTTCGTCCAGGTTCAGTCTTTTCTTCTTCGTCTTTTTATTTGAGAGCTGCCTTCTCGTTAGTTGAGGGACGTATAGAAAGAGAAGTTGAGAGAGAGAGAGAGAGAGAGAGAGAGAGAGAGAAAGAGAGAGAGTAAATGAGAGGGAGATAAGAGTGTTAAAGGAAAGCGCAAATGCCTTATTTTAATTTAATTTTTTTTAAAACTTTTTTAAAATTTTATTTGGTTTTAATCGGAACTCACTACAAGAACATGTCTCAAATTTTCAAGCTAATATTTTGGTTTTGTAGAATCTTACTGTGTTGGGCAAAATTACCCCCTAGTACAACCTATCCTCAAGGCCGGTTTGGTTTGGTTTATTTTGTTTTATGGCATATCAACACTTTAATGGGCTAGCAATGCCGACTATATTTTTAGGGTTGGTTCGTATGAATAGAATATTCTTTTTAAGAAATCTGTTTGTAGATCAGGTTTCATTGACGTATATTTGTAAAGAGGCTTTTTGTCGAGAGTCAACAAATGTATTGCTGGTAATCCCGGGTCAGAGTGGACCTGGGAACAACAGCAATTAAGAGGTGGTTCCAAGCTCCTCAAAACCTCCTGATCAGAGGTCTTGCTGCTGGACGTAGTTTATCGTCATACCCAGGACGATTCAAGGCCGGATTATCTTAGAGGCTAGTATAGACTGCGGCCTAGAGGAGCCCGGCTAAAAGATTTTTTAAAGATAATCCTTTTTTTATTTTTATTTTTTTAATTAAAAAAACGAGTATAATATTTTAATATTTGCATTGCTGAATAATTCATTTAACTTAAAATAAAATTTTAAATTTAAAGAAGGCGGTCCAAGAGTATGAAAAACCCATTTTTTAAAAAAAAAGTGACCCCTTATTTGCGATAAACGGCCCCAGTTTGAGGCCTTATATTTTTAAAGAATATTTTTATTAACAAAAAAAAGATAGCTATTCTGGTTTATTTAAAAAATTTGAAATCAGTTTACTTCAAGCTATGTAAATGCCGCTAAAAATATAACGAGCAAAAATATTCAAGACGCGTGGGAGCGAGTTAGAGTGTGGCGTCATAATTTCATTAGCCTAGGGATCCCAAAAGATAATAATCTAGCCTTGCCTATCCCGTGTTCAGTTTTATTATTCTCTATACTAAATTTGTTGTAACTGATCCATACACTGAGTAATTTGAAGTGTTTTGAGCTTATCAATTCCAATTTTCATTTTCTGAATTTTTATGATGGATTCAGAGTAGGTATTGTGGAGTGAAAACGGAAATAAACATCAAGCCAGTTGAACAATAAATGATAAACAAATGATTTCTGAGCTAGAGGATTCGCGTATCCTTCCGGTTAATAAATAAATAATTTGAAAATAATATTTAACATTTTCCAACCAACGTGTCGTGTTCCCATCGACAATAATAATAATAATAATAATAATAATAATAATAATAATAATAAAACATGCTTCGTGATCCCTTTGAAGAGTATTTAAGTAAAGTTTCTAGACGGACAAAACCGCTAAGAAATGGCAACAGACGTCAACAGTACACAATGATAGATTCTCTTACTCATTCACCTGTCTTCCTCACCAAGCTACGTGACACTTACACTTTCCTCCTTACTTTGTACCTTGCTTCTTTTTCTCACACATACACGCGAAGAAATCACATTTCTTTTCATCATAACAAACTCCAAATAAGGAACTTTAATACTCGGGCTCGCTGAGAAAAATTTAGTTGTCAAAACACAAAAATAAATATATTTTATATTTAAAAATCTTTCTCGTCTTTTTCTTTGTTGTGCGTTGATTCAAATCCACACAATTCCATAATTATAGTTATATGAACCAAAGTTCATATTTCTTTTCATCCCCCCTCCCCACCGAGTACTTTTTCATTATTATAAAAACAGTTATGTAAATATGCCCCCAAAATTAAAAAAATAATTCTTCAAATAGAATGTAGCAATATAATATTCAAAAGTACTCGGGGGAAAAAATAAAATAAATATGGACTTTGGTAAATTTACTGATTACATAAAACCACTAATTCATAAATTTGAAAATGTTAATAAAAAAACAAGATAGACAATTAAAACATGTTTGAAAGCATTATTGCTGCCGAAATACGCCATATGACTTTAAAATGTTATTTTTAGTGGGTTACAATTAGTTACGTTACACATGTTTGAGTAGACATCTCTGTTTATTTATATACAGTGAAATTAATGCCTTTGCCTACCGACTAAAAATGTACCTATTAGCAAGAATCAAACCCGTGTTTTCACCTTTTTCTGGAAAATCACCTAGGCTACAAATGTGCTTGCTTACAGCAAGGCAAAAAAACAAACAAAATTAACAAAAAAACAAAAAAACTAATTACCCTTTTTAAGAACAGCTAACTAAATACTGGTTACCCAGAAAAAAAGACAATGCAGGTACAATTCTTGCCGAGTGGTACATGAGACTTTTGAAGATATAGGCCAATAGACATTTAATTTCACTTTGTAAATAAATATAAAAACAGGTATTTTTACTCAAACATGTGTAATGTACCCGCCACCCAAAAATAAGTAATAACGAAATAGTGTCAGATTAAGAAAAGAACATACCAATCTTTAAATTTTTCACATGTCATAGAAAATTAACTGATGGGAGGATTGTAATGATAAATTTTATGAATTATCAAATAATAACTAATGGATTGCTTATTTTATTTTTTTTTTACATAAAACTTTACAATAAAAATTCAGGATGCAATTTCAAACAGTTAATTTAAATCACCGACTTTAGAGTTATCTCCCTTGAAAAGCAGTAGCGATTACATTCGAAACGTCGTATAAACATGCACAGTTGACAGTGTTTTGAATGTTCTAACAGATTTTTCTTAATTGAAAAATCTTCAGATAAAAGGTAAACCAAGAATCGGTCGAATACCTAATTATTTGATATTTTTAAAAGCTCCTAAACAAAGAAGGATTGGATAAAAAGTAGAAAACGTGTTTTGTTTGTTTGTCTGTCACCACGGAAGTAAACAGCATCAAATTCGCATCACATGAGGAGAGGAAAGAGAGAAGAAAAAGGAGAAACGTCGGAAATTGTTACTGATATATCACCATTTTCAAAAAAATCACGGACTCTATTTAATTCAACTGGAATTTAATTCTCATTGCGATTCCCATATCAACAGAAAACTAGTACTGAAGACATTTAAATTAAAAACAAGACAACGCCATAATGCAGTGGGCGGAAGTGTAATTTGACCTGGTCACGTGACAGATACCTTATCTGGAGTTTCTGTTTATATTGTTTTTTTTTTTTTTTTTTTTTTTTAAAGGAAAAACAAGTTATTTTGGAGTCTACTCGAGAAAGAAGAAATAGTAAGAAAAAAAAAACGAAAAAAAAAAAAAAAAGCTAAAAGAATCTGAAATTGTCAAATATTTTTCTGTAAAGTTAGAAAAAAAAAAAAGCAGAAAACATGTCTTCTGTTAGTGACGTCGTGTCGAATTTGCGACAATCTTTCAACAGTGGCTTGACAAAATCTATCGTATGGCGTCGTCGCCAGTTACACGCTCTTCTCAGATTGATCGATGAAAACTCCGACGATATCGCTGAAGCCCTCCGCAAGGACCTTAACAAATGCGAATTCGAGAGCTTTCTCTTCGAAATCGATTTTACAAGGAACGACATTGTGAACCATCTGAACAACCTTTCGAAATGGACGAAACCGACCCCAGTGAAAAAAACACTCTTCTTCATCGCTGACAGTTGCTTTATCAAACCAGACCCTTTCGGTGTTGTGTTGATAATCGGGGCCTGGAATTATCCATTCCAGATCATACTGCTGCCTCTAGTCGGGGCAATATCAGCAGGTAACTGCGTAGTCCTTAAACCTTCAGAGTACGCTGCGTCGTCTGCAGACCTCATGTGCAAACTCGTGTCCAAGTATCTCGACCCAGAATGTATACAGCTGATACTTGGGGGCGTACCAGAGACTACGGAAATATTAAAACAACGTTTCGATTATATTTTTTACACTGGGAACAGCGAGGTGGGTAAAATTGTTATGAGTGCAGCAGCTGAAAATCTAACACCCGTGACCCTAGAATTAGGTGGTAAAAATCCAGCCTACGTTGACTGGAACTGTAACTTGCAAACGGTTGCAAACCGTTTGCTATGGGGCAAGGGCTCGAATGCCGGACAAACTTGCATCGCCCCCGACTACATCATGTGTCCACAAGAAGTACAGGCCCCACTTGTAGAGGCCCTCAAGCAAAGTGTGAGCCATTTCTACGGGGACAACGTTGGCAAATCCGAATGTTATGGGCGGATCATTAACAAACGTCATTTCAAGAGACTACAGGCGATATTAGAAAGCAAAACACCGGCATTTGGTGGCGAGATGAACGAAGAAGAAAAATTTATTACTCCGACCGTCCTGACGGATGTTAAGCCGACAGACTTAATCATGAAAGAGGAAATCTTTGGTCCTATATTGCCCATTATGATAGTAGAATCCCCACAGGAAGCCATCGACTATGTTAACAGTCGAGAGAAGGCCCTGGCTGTGTACGTCTTTTCAAATGACAAGGGGTTGGTGAAAAAGTTTGTGTCTGAGACCAGCAGTGGTGGGGTCTGTATCAACGATTGTATTTTACACACGGCTTTGGAGACCTTGCCGTTTGGTGGAGTCGGCTACAGCGGCATGGGTAGCTATCACGGTAAGTTCACGTTCGACACATTTTCACACAAAAAGGCTGTCATGTGGAGAACTATGGGCATGGAATTTCTTAATACTCTTCGATACCCACCGTTTACCAATACGAACGCCGAAATGATTCGTCGGTTCACAAAAAAATCACTGAAGAATAGTAAAACATCATTTGTATTCCCACTTTGTGCTGTAGTATTCTTGATAGGTGCCCTTTCCATTGCGTTTTTTAAGTATCTTTAGCAGATAAAAAAGAAAAGAAAAACGAAAACTACATTCCACAATCGACCAAATCCGTGGTGACTAGAGTAAGAGGAAAAGAAAATCTGGAATTCGAAAACGTCAGGTATTTTTTCTGTAAAGTTAAAAAAGAACAGGAATAGAAAAGGAATATGTTCATTTATTTTATATCACCTTTTTTCTTTTCTTTCACACATGGATACATGATTTTTAAGCAACTGTACTTGACTAAATAAGTCCACTGCTCAGTGCTATTGATACCAGTGTGACTTACACAGCAGCCACCCACCAAAATGTAAAATTAAACCAAGAGTACTGCCAAAATATGTACTTTTCCCTAAACGAAAGCGCGCAAAAAAAAAAATAAAATCAAAACATCTATAAAAAAAAAAAAAACTAAAAAAGCTACTCCCGCTTTTTAAAAAAAATTTACCAAAAATCAGAGAATTATCCGATTTGAATTAAATTTTCAGCTCTTTTTCGGTATTAATTAAATGAATTTTTTTATACTGAATTTTTTTTTTTTTTTTTTTTTTTTTTTTTTGAAAGATTTTGTGGAAATATTTTTGTTTGCTCAGTTACATCCCACTCAATACATTGTGAGCTTGTTTGAAATTGGGATATATGAAAAAAAAAAAAAAAAAAAAAAATTATAGTTTTATAAAGAAAAACGCCTAAAGATTTTATTTCAACAACAGAAAAAAAATTAAAAAAAATGAAATATCAATCATGAACATCTTGAAAATTTTATCCTGAAACCTCTTAAAAATAATTCAATAAAACTCAAAAAATATTTTTTTGGAGAGTTGGTGCTTAAACATTATTTTCTTTCAGGGATCTATTTAAATGGACTGTCCACTCCTAAAAAAATAGAAAAAAAAATGATTTGGGAAATAATTTTTTGTAGATTAACAATTTAACATTCTTTAAAGCTGCTAATTACCTTAAGCTGCTATATTTGTCATAAGTGAAAAATATTGATTTGTTATTGATTTAGAATGGGGGTTCCTGTTTATAATATCGATACAGTGTCAAATTGATCCATTGAAACAAACTTTTTGATGGGGGTGGTTACAGAAACATTTCTTTTAAATAAAGAACAGATGGATACATGCATTTCTAATTAAAGAACTAAAATTTGCGTAAATTAATAAGCGATAATTAAATTAATATTAATTTAATAATCCATTTATATTTCATTTAAGATAAATAATTATTCACCTCAAATGTTTGTGCATAGGCTTTTGACAAAATTCCATAACAAAAAATGTTTTTAAAAATATTTAAAAAGAATTAAAAAAACAGGTACAAAACCTCAGAAAATTGAAAAAAAAAATGTAGATATCAATGATGTCACCACAGTTTCAGGTTTGATATCTGTAAGTAACAACTAAGTCCAATATTTCTGTAAATTGATTTGACAGTGTATTGAATGGGACCCTCCTTCTAAATAAAAAAAAAACAATATTTTTCCAATTTTTGAAAATTGTCGTTGGCTTAAGTTAGTTAGGTCAGGCACAAGGCTGAGCTGAATAGACAGTTTCTCTCCAATATTTTCAAACTTGCATAGTAGTTCTGAGTTCGTCAACAGAATGTAATTCAGTGTCATTGTATAGTCGATCAATAAATGGTTGAGCCTCTCCTTCAGTTTTGTGTCCCATCTATAGGTTGCTAGAGTTTTGATACTTACTCAATTGGTTGTCATATGCAATGTCCAGCAAGTTTTAGGCATTTTTTTTCTCTGATCTTTGTTGTGACTCTAGGGAAAGAGTCATACAGAATTGCATTTGTGACATAATCTCTCCAAGATAGATTGAGAGCCATTTCTGTTTAGGTTCTGTTGAAAGAGGATTCCTCCGTTTTGGTGAGGGTCCATGTACTTCAACCATAGAACAGTAGCGTATCTACTGTAGTTAAGAATGATCCCATCTTGACGAACAAACTGAGGTTGGATTTCCAGAGCTTTTCTGACTTTGGTGTCTTGTGAAGAGTTACTTGTCCATGAGCCAAGATTTCTAAAATCGTTGACCCATTTTATAGGTTTGGTTGAGTTAAGAACCATTCCACACGGCGTTACTTTATCTAGACGTTCAGAAGAAGCCCTACCTGTGTGCAGATATTCTTTACTTTTGAGAGCATTTCCTGAGGATGTTCTGTCTTATCAGAAATCAATGCAAATGTCATTGGCAAAATCTAAATGCATAGTCATTACATAGTTTTAAGATATTAACAAAGAAATAGGAGTGAGTGGATCTACTTTTAGGTCACCAGCAATGATGTCGAATAGTTTAATTTCATCATCACCATCAACAACCTGTGTATAAAAAAGACAGATTCATCAGGAATTCTATATTAACCTTCAAGATATAGTGGACAGCATGCAATGCTCTATTGTGCTTTTGAACTAACTGCTAATGTGTAAATTGTGCCATAACAAAATATATAAAATATCACCCAATTAATTAAAATTAAAAAAAAATAAATGAAAAATGCAATTGTAACGTTCTGTATTTACATTTGGTACCTACTGCCAGTAATATGTACATTTATTGATTGGTTTTCTGCCATTTATCAACCCTTTGCAGATTATTTAAAGCCAGAAAATATTTTTAGATTGTAAGAATTGTTTTGAGACAACAATGTTTTAGTAATACCCATCCTACTAATTAACTCATAGCTGGGAGGATAAGAGGCAAATTAATATCTTTACCAAGGGTATTTGCACATAAGTGAACATAATGAATCCAATAGGAATTGGAACTTGGCTCTTCGATTTGCAATTCCGCACCATTATCCATTACACCACCCATCAGGAATTCTATATACCTTGAAGATCTTCAGGATCTTTCCCTGATGGACACTGTCAAAAGCTTTTTGAGAGTCAGTAAGGTTTTCAGTTTGTTTGCTAACAGTTGCTCTATTAATCCAGACCCCTTCAGTGTTGTGTTGATAAACTGGAGTCTGGAATTATCTATTCCAGGTTGTACTGCTGCCCCTTGGTGCAATATTAGCAGGTAATTGAGTAGTCCTCAAACCTTCATAGCATGCTACGTCATCTGCAGATCTCATGTGCAGAGTCGTGATCAAATATCAAGACGCAGAATGTATACAGCGAATACTTAATTTCTTGTCTTTCTTCTTCACAAGAATGCGACTCATCACTGCATTTGCTTGTACAAAACGCTCATAATTGTCAATAACATTACCAGTTCCATTCTGCAATAGTTCAAAGCAGTTGATGGTGACTGTGTAGAGTTCCTGTAGTGTCTTGTTTATATGCAGACACTGCCAGTCATATGATAGTTTGAATTCTAGAGCTTACTATGATTCTGGAGAGGATTGGGATCTATCAGGCTATCATTCCCAAGACCCACTATTTATACTGCAGCTGCAGTAGATGTAGTTCCCCCTATGGCCCTAATGGGTTATGAGACTCGTGCTTGATGATTCTGTGCAAAGCAAGGATTTGTGATGTTGCAGAATGATAAGCTTGAAAGTAATTCTGGTTTGGCCTCAGATGACCATACAGTACAGGTTGTATTTGGTTCAAGATCATTCTGATTACCAGTTTCACTGTAATTGTAATTAAATTGATGCCCCTGCTTACTCAGAGAACCTTTCTTGAGTACTGGGTTGATATTGCTGATACTCCAAGGGTCTGGCTTTTCCTCTTCAACTAATAAACTCGTGCCTTCTCAAGTTAACATTCTCAGTTGACATGAAGCGGAAAGACGACATTGAATCTATTGCTAGGTTGCGCCTTCTCAGGTTAACATCCTCAGTTGACATGAAGTGGAGAGACTACATTGAATCCATTGCTAGGTTGCGGCTTCTCAGGTTAACATTCTCAGTTGACATGAAGCGGAAAGACGACATTGAATCTATTGCTAGGTTGCGCCTTCTCAGGTTAACATTCTCAGTTGACATGAAGCGGAAAGACGACATTGAATCTATTGCTAGGTTGCGCCTTCTCAGGTTAACATTCTCAGTTGACATGAAGCAGAAAGACGACATTGAATCTATTGCTAGGTTGCGCCTTCTCAGGTTAACATTCTCACTTGATATAAAGTGGAGAGACTACATTGAATCTATTGCTAGGTTGGGCAATTCTCAGGTTAACATCCTCAGTTGACATGAAGCGGAAAGATGACATTGAATCTATTGCTAGGTTGCGCCTTCTCAGGTTAACATTCTCACTTGATATAAAGTGGAGAGACTATATTGAATCCATTGCTTGGTTGCGCCTTCTCAGGTTAACATTCTCAGTTGACATAAAGTGGAGAGACTACATTGAATCCATTGCTAGATTGCGCCTTCTCAGGTGAACATTCTCAGTTGACATGAAGCGGAAAGACGACATTGAATCTATTGCTAGGTTGCGCCTTCTCAGGTGAACATTCTCAGTTGACATGAAGCGGAAAGACGACATTGAATCTATTGCTAGGTCAGCTGCTAAGAAAGTTGGTTCATTGTGTAATGCTAGTCAATTTTTCTCTCTAGGAGTGTTTGAGATTGTTAGTGCATATACTTGAGTGATTTCAATTAAGAATTTAAAAATTAAAAGAAAAAAAAAATCAATTCATCCCAAGGAAGGTAATAATACCACTAAGACGCAAGGGGGCTACTTGGAATGGGACAGAATAAAAAGACTTTAGAAGAAACAGTAAACCCAATCGTAAACAAGCAACAAGATCAAGTGGAAATATCAACTGGATGGTAGGCAAACATATCTATTTCTACTAAGGAAAAACCATAAAACAAATAATAAATAAAATTTCAGAGTTTAGGAGAGACGTTAGAAGTATAAAGTTGAAGTAGACTTTGATGGAACCGGGAACCAATTCTAAACATCAAACCAGCGGAAAACCTCTATTCCTGTTCAAAAGACATGTGAACCTGGCAATAAGCAAACCTGTATACTCCTATTAAGATTGCCTATTTGTGTTACTTTCTGTATGAAACATGAAGAGAACATCATTGTTACCAATATGAGCATTGAAGTT